GAACCAACGTCAGGTAACTATGACTTGAGCTAAAAATGAGATTTGTGACACAAAAAAATTAGGGAAACTATCAAAAGTCGATCTAAACATGCATCAAATGCATGTCTAAAAGCGGACTTATCATTCGCTCTCCACGGTTTGTGCTTTTTGCTCGGTCAAGAGATTTATCAAAATAGAATCAAAACCTAGGTTTTTTCTAAAAATAGGACATGTTAGTTTAGACGCTATAAATAGGACTCTTTATTTGTGATTTGACAAAAAAATATTTATAGGGTTAGAGGGACTATTACTCCCAAATCGGCGGGACCGCCACCGAACTGCCAACAACCGCCACAGATCTGACATGATTTGTCCGGAATCTACCGCTATTAAGTTGCCGCCACCAACAGACTGATCTTGATACTGTAAGGTAACTAGGGGACAATTAAGTAGATTAATTAATTAGTTAATTAGTTAAACTAAATTTTCACTCGTGTGTTGCACAGGATGTCATTAACAATTATTAAAAAAAATTAATGTCTAAGAAATATGACGATAGAGATTAAAGTGAATAGAGCATGTTTATGGCCAACTAAGAGCCCGTTTGGTGACCCTCTTTTCAGTTTATCAGGCTTATTAGTCAACTTTTTCATTAAACATGTAACTTTAGATTTCGCGTGATGAATTGTGTAATAATAAGAAAAGGTAAGGTTTGAGTTACTTTTATACTTACATTGACTGAAAGCCTGAAATTACTATAGAGGATCATTTTATCCATTTTTCATTTAATTGTTTCTTTACTTTACTAATAAAATACATTTTAATATAATTTTTTTATAAATCAGCAGAATCATTCAATTATGTCACTTCAGCGAAAAACTTCATAAATTTCAACAAAATTGGTTGATTCAGGTGATTTTGGTATTACCAAACGGGCTCTTAAAAGTGATAAAAGCTCAAAATTCTACATCTCATAATCACCAATATTTAAAATTTTCTAGGTTGGTATCATCGTCGAATATAACAAATTTGAACTCATAGTCTATGATGTATAAGAGATTTTTTCAAAAATTATTACTAAAATGAAACTTATTTACAAAAATATGACTAATAGTTACTGTATTATAGTCTCATAGTCACTTAAGTGTAAAATTGAACTTGAGTTACTTGACGAAAGTTACTACTATAATCATTACACTTAAAAGGTCATATTATTGTAAATAACCTTTATTGTAGCCATATATATGTATTATTTCAATGTGTTGTATAACTCTATATATGGAATTTTCAAAAAAAACTCTACTCATGGATAGAATTGCATGAAGTATAAACGCAAAAACCATTATCAAAGACTTTCCCTACATTTATACATTGTCATCTCATAAGTTAACATCACAGAGAATTATCGAGGCTAAAATGTGAATAGAAACTTTGTGTATGATGTACTAAAATGAAGGGCATGTATGGTAATTTCCCATTGTCAAACACTCAAGTTTTAATTTTTAACTCTAAACTGTGTAATAATCAAAATCACGGATGAGGTATCGTCTAAACTGCGCTAAAGGAAGTACTTAACTGACTTACTCCTATACTTATAATAAAAGAACCATATGTCAGGCTTATCTTCCCTAATAAGCATGCAATTGCAGATTTGGAATTCCCTCATTTGTAGTATGGGAGATGATAAGTGAACTAGAACTTTGGAGATTGGCTAATAAAAAATTCCTCAAACTGGAGAGCTAAACTTCACAATTCATTAATTTAGTAGATGCTACATTGCTAAATCGTAAGAAATACATCCTCTTATTTCTCTAATACTGTAAAAACAAAGAAGAGATAAGTCACAATACAATTGAATAACATAATACATAGTAGTAATTGAGAAAGGAAGACAACATACTCAAACTCGCAGACTCCCAACTAACATAAAAAATTTATTACACGACTTGTTCCTACTAAGGATGTTTACAAAAACAACGATGTTGATGATATCATCATCATCATGATAACACTTTATGAAGGATGAACTTCATGTATGGCAGCATGGAGTAATAACAGAGCCTTGCCGCTATGGCACTGGTGTTGAAGTATTCTTATTGTCATTTCATACAAAACTCTACTAGTAAGTGCATCCAAATTCACATATGAAGTCAGAACGTATGAAAAGAACTATGTCAACATATGGGAGTAAATGCTTAACGAATTTGGATAGTGTCTGTAAGTAAAAAACAAAAACTTATGAATTGGGCTGATAAACCATATAATATGGCTCCAATGGACTTCAAAGAAAAAACATGCTGTTATAGAACCTGATAAAAGAGTAGCACCTAAGTATACCCATGCAGCAATTTTATCCTTTGTGGCATTGTTAACGCCAAATATAATGGTAAAGGAATAAATATATTAAGAATGGTAATGAAGTATAACATACCTTAACAAAACTTAGTAAATATACTATTGTCCCTATAACAAAAGTAAAATATGTAGACAGGGGCGGATCTAATGAGGAAGGTATGGGGGCTAAAACTGATTGCCCACAACCAACCGTTTGGCTGTCACCGCCCAAAGCTAAAAAACTGAAATTCAGATTCTGGAATCACCCAAACTCACTTGACGATTGACTAAGCTTAAATTTGAGGATTTGTGAATGAGTAGCTTAAATTCAAATTCTGGAATCACTCAAACTCAAATTTGACAATTAGAGAAATCATTCAATAGGTTAGCCGTGAACGGGGGATACAACAAAGGGAAGAGGACAAAGAGATCGGCCACATTTTATCACTTTATTTTTAATTAAATACGGAGTATGAAATTTGAAGTTGGAGTTTTGCACTCGGCATTTTAATAAAAGCGAAATTCACAGAAATAATTCCTATTTTTAGGGGTTCTACAATAATTATCCATACTGAGAGTATTCATAAAATAATCCGAACTAGCAATAGTGTCCACAAAAATAAATAGAGGTAAATTAAAATTATTTCCCATTTAATCCTCCCAAATCTTACCTCTACTTTGTCCTTCACTGCTCTTCTTTTTGGGTAACACTTCTATCTTCTATCCAAGAAAGAACCACATATGGCGGAAATAACATTAAGATTAAACGGGTTTTAGTTTTAATTCACTTTCATAAGAAGATCGGTGAAGATAAAAGTGAGAGTAGAGATTGATAGTATTAAACGGGCATTAATTTAAATTCACCCCAATTTATTCTTGTGGACACTATTGCTAGTTCGGATTATTTTTATAGACACTCTCAGTATGGATTATTATTGTAGAATCCCTAAAAATATGGATTATTCTTATGAATTTCACCTTTAATAAATTAGGTTGGTCGTTGGGTTAATCATCTGTATGATGGTTGTGTTGTTTATTTGTTTAAACTCTAAAACCATGTATTACTTTATATTATATACTTCCTCCGTCCCGAAAAGGTTGGCCAAAGTTGACTTTCATGTGGATTAATAAAGAAAAAACTGTGTGGATGAAATTTGTGTAGAGGAGAGAGAATTAATTTTAGCCACATGTTTCTTATTTTAAATGGAAATGACAAATCTTTTTGGGACATCCAAAAAAGGAAATTTGGCCAACCTTTTCGGGACGGAGAGAGTATATAAATGATGAGTAAATTCCCTAAATAGGAGTAAAAAAGTTTTGAAATTCCAAAATATGACTATCATGTTTTTTGTTTTTTAAATAGGAGTAAATTTCTGCCAAGTTTAGCATTACTAGACTTTTGAACATTACATTTTTTTCCAAACTTGGCAGATTACTCATATTCAAGGAATAAAAAACATGATACTCTTATTTTGGAATTTCAAAGCGTTTTTACCCCTATTTAGGGCAATTTCTAATAAATGATTGACAATGCTATTAAACTTATTGGAATGCTATTAATTATTTTGAGTTTATTGATGTAAATTCATTGAATTTATTTTAATTTATGATTTAGGGTGGTTTTAATTAGACTAAGATTTTCTAGTCAGATTTGATAGGGTCTGGTCTGAATTGATCTGATATGTTAATGTCCGGTCTCTATATATTTTATAATTGTCCAAGTCTGGTGTAGTCTAGTTTGATCTTATCTGATGTGGTTTGGTCTAAACTGGTATGATCTGATTTGAGATTGAAAATAATCCAAGTAAAAACAACTTTAAATGAAATAGTTATACATCTAGTAGAGACTGTCTTTTTTTAAAATAATACTCCGTATGTTATTGCAAACAATTAAAAAAGTGTATTAATGTACTAAAAACATAATGGATCTCTTCCAAAAGATTAAAACTCAGTGTGATCAATTGTGATATATTTTGTTCAAACTTTTAATATTGTAACAATACAATTATAATTTATTAATTTCTGTTCTTTGGATTTTGTCAAAAAAAATTGTTCTTTTGATGTATGATGTATCTTTTACTTACTCCGCTCCTCATAAGCTTTTTTTCTGGATCCGCCACTGTATGTAAACAAATTTACTTCTAGTTTATGAAATAGGAAACATTTGGGCATTACAAAACCGCAAGAGGCATCATATAACTTGCACCAAAAATTGAAGTATTTAAGAAATGTGCATATCCTTATAACAAAATAGCCATATATGGATTGAGATTTATGGCAAAAATTGAAGTGTTTTTCAGCAACCCAGGAAAATCATTTAAACTAACTTTATTTGAGTCCGTTTTCATAACTAAAGAACATGGTGAAGGAGTAGTATGCAAATATAAACCAAGCATCAATACTTATTACTTTATTAGCTTTGATTTCCTAAGTTTCCACTCAGATGGATTCCGATGAGCGAAGATGACACCGATTAGGGGTGGACCGGTTCCGGTTCGGGCCCGGCCGGGTCTCGGTTCATGAAAGGGGAGGCCTGGCCGGGCCCGAACCATTTGCAAGTTGCGTTGTCTGGTCAAGATAGGAGCAGCTGTTGCTTTGTCTTTAGCTTTTCACTATAGTTTTCAGAGCAAAGATTTTTTAAGATCTCAAAGAAAAAGTAAATAGTAGATCTGATACATACCAAAACATACAAAACAGAAACAAGTTATTAATCATAAATTATAATACAAAGGTCAATTTACAATTCAAAAAATGAGAATTCATACACTAATGTCCTTTCTTTGTTTACATACTTGTATTTCTAGCTACCTCCATCAACATCTTGTTTCAATTCACGAACACTGTTGTAGCGGTTTTCAGCAATGTAGTGTGCAAACATTCATTCTTACAATCATGTCAATCTATGCTCTCTAATCTCCACTCAACTAAAGATATACAGTGATACCAAAATGTCAACTGAAAGAATCAGATTTCCTGAAGATGAAAAAGAATAAAGCACATCCAGCTTCTGCAGAATATCCTCACAGTTGAGCTTATGGAGATATATGGCCATCAGCAATGTTGCTCCTATTCGGGGATGGATACATATGCGTTTTTGGATTCACCAACTTTGTCAAATGACGCTACTGGATTCACCAGCAATGTTCTTATGCCGAGGCGGCGCAATTACTTCACATTTCCCCTAACTGAAAATAACAATTAATGTTGTGCAATGAAGCGGTTTTACAAGCTAAATGTTAAAGTTTCTGACGGAGAAAATTTCCAATGTGCTAATTTCATATGTCAAATCAATACAACATCCAAGCCTTATTCTCAAAAGATTTTGAGATTTTGGGGTCAGCTAACATGAATCGATCCATGAAATCAAAGCCAAAAAGAGAAGAAAGATAAGAAGAAAAGAAAATAAAGTAAGATAAAATAGATAAAATCAAGATAAATATAAGATAATAATAACATCAAAACATAAGAAAGATAAAAGATAAAAAGATAAAAGAGCATAAGAAAGATAACACAAAATAGAATAAGAACATAAAAAGATAAAAAAGATTTACGATAAAAGAAAAAGAGAGAGAAAAGAGATCAGTCGTCCACACGAATGTGCGCCCTAATACTTTGCTCTTATCCATATGTCAAATCAATAAGAATAACAATTTATTTACCTCTCCGAAACCAGGAACGACGAACTGCTTGACGGATATGGCGTTCATGCTTTTCCAATAGCTCGTCCATTCTGTGAGATTGAGGTAGCAAAGGTCCTGAAAATTCAACCCTGTCACCATGACTGTGAACCTGTTCAGAGCCGATTCAAAAGAAGACAGGAGTTAATATGATTCACCGGATGGAATTAACGGATTATCCAACACCTCAGTATCAAGACAGATTCTTTAACATGAATAGTTGTCCTAAAAACAAGAGCAATTTAGTGCAATAAAGAAACTTTTTGTTAGGGACGGAAATTCAGGATGATTTAATGCTTTGATCCACTTATCTGGATGTTCATGGAGTTTCATGGAGTATTTCAATGACAAACAAGATCAGAAAAATGCATATTGGAATATTTTAGTCAAAGGAGAGTACTCCCCACTTCCCACTTCACACCCACACATCCCCTAAATTTGCGATATGTTACACACGGTCACACGCTCTTCCTCGCAAAAAAAAAAAATCCTCATAAAGATACAACTTTTAAATTTTGACAAGTTATATCTCTCTTATATGTTGGTAGAGCTGAACTTGCCCTATCTATATAACTGACATCGTTTGTGACTCTTTTTTGAAGAATTGATTCAAAGTTAGCTTCTTTGATAAAACAAAAAGGATCTTTTTTGAAGAATTTTATTATTATTTTAAACAGGACACTTGCAAGTTTTAACTCACCGCATTCATTCTCTTGACATCCATTTCTTCTTTCAAGTATAGGGCCAGCGAAACTTCATGTGGGTGATAGCCACCATCAGAACCATCAAAGAAATCTTGCCGCCCTAATTGATTCCATTGTTCAAGTGCTGCAGGCCTTGCATTTTCATAGGAATTATGTCCCTTAGTATCTGTGCGGCTCCCACCATTTCTGGCATCACAGTTTTCTCTCCTTTTCGACTCCAAGTTGTTATTCCTCGGTGGTAATAATGCACCAGAAGGTTCGAAAACAAGGCTTCTCGAGCTAGACGTGCTTCGCGGTGATCTCACAGATGAACCTTTAGACCATCTTTTTGCCCATGAGAAGCCACTTGATCCGGAGACCTGCATTGGACCTGAAAAGGGGATATCAGCTTCAGATGCAGTCTTTGCAAGAGATGCCTCTTCCATGACATCAATCCATGGCTTAGGCTGCTGTAGAACCACACCACGTTCTCCTTCTTTTTGCCTTCTGAGATTACTTCTATGCGCACCTTGAGTTTGAACAGATAGCTTCTGCATAGATAAAAGTTGTTAGATGCTGATAAAGATTAATCCAGGAATAATAAGATAAGAACTGAATCTCACAGATGAATTAGAAGAAATATCATGGTGGGGAGGAATGGCACTTTTCTATTGCTGATTTTAACTACAGAAATCATGTCACACCTGCACTCTGGCCCGCCCCCTTCAATTCTATGCTTTGAGTATCTATTAGTTTTAACTGCATCTGACAGTTATTAGTCTTGCTACTATCTTGTATAATAGCAAGACTAGCAACATCCGGATGAAGTTATAATCACAAGATACTCAAAGCAGAAAGTTGAATGGTGGGGCAGAATGCAGATTTGATGTGATCTCATGTCCTTTAAGTTTACTTGAATTATGGAATGAAATAGAAAACTTTCTTCTTCCTCCCTTCAATTTCTCCTTATGTACGTGTGAACCATCTTTCTTATGTTTCTTATTATTCCTGGGTTTTTTATCACATAGACAGATAAGTAGACACACACACCTCCTCTGGTGCCAGTTTATTGATTCCATTTTGTTTTCTGGTAGGCTTTCTTGTGGTCTCCTGTCCGTGTGCCCTTCCACTGGGCTTCTTCCTGGAATTCCTCACAGAGATTAGCTCACATGAGAAACATGAAAATCTGCATAAATAAAAGCTCTCTGGTACTAACAAAAATTAAGCCTCACCTTCTTACTTGGTCACGGTGTTTAGTATCAATTTCTTTGCTTGGTGGATACTTGGGCAAGCTTGAAGGATCACAAGCACAAGGCTTTGTCATGAAATACTAAATAAAGCAAATAAATAAGGGTATTAGTTACCTCATATTTTATCTACAAGTCAAGACTAAGGGTATGTTTGGATCACAGAAAATGCAAGGGAAACCCAATGAAGTAACATGGAAATTTATTTTGTGTACAGTTCTAGCTCTTTTCCATCATTTCCAATGGAGCCAAAAACTCAATATTGTTTGGCTTGGGAATATGATGGAATAAAGCAAAATGACTTACTAAACTGTCTGCGCTTCTTTGTTATGAAGCAGCAATCAATCTATGCAATTTTCGACGAGATTTTCATCATGCGTCATCCAGCCTGTATGTGTACTCTTTAGTACAGGGGTAAGGCTGCGTACATCCGACCCCCCTTACCTCACCGGAGGTGGGAACCTTTGCAACACTGGGGGAAATGTTGTTTTTCAATTCTAGCTCGCAAAAAGGAAAGAAAAATCAAATATGATTTTTTCTCTTTAGATATTACATATGTTTAGATTTTTTTGAAAGATTACATATGTTAGATTACGCAGTCTTTAGATTACAGAAATAAATAAATATATAAATAATTAGTTAAATATATATTTTTTAAATAATTAATTAATTAAATAAATAAATAAATAAGTAAATAAATAAAGAAATGAATAAATAAGTAAACAAGTAACTATAAGAGCATCTCCATTCATAATACTCAAATTTACGGTTTTTTATGGCTTCTTATTGCCATGTCACTTCCACATAAGATAATCTCAAATAATCTCCAAACCTATCAATTTATCATCATCCATGATTTTAATTTACCTAGATTTTTTTATGAGACACGCACTCAATTTCAAAATCTCTAACCTAAATTCACTCACACACTCACATGCACTCCACATGGACACCATATACTTATTAAAAAATCTTAGTATGTACACCGTTATAAAATATTATAATTATAGTACGTACACCATGATATAATTATAGTTATATAATTATAGTACGTACACGGTACACCATTATATATTTATAATTATAAAAAATCTTAGTACGTACACCATTATATAATTATAGTAAAAAAAAATTATACCTTTTAGTACGTACATTATACACCATTAGGGTGTACATTTAGTACCTTGTATGTAAAATAATTTACACCATTAAGTTAAATAAAAATTATTAAAACAATATATTTATTAAAAAATCTACTCCGTATAAACAACGGATAGTGCAGTGCTATTAATTTTATTGTTAAAACGGATACTGCTTTTTTCTTGTACAACCAAACGGATAGTGCGTTTAAATTCGTAGTGCATGCATTAAATTTTTTCGTCGGTTGGAGTAAGCGGATGCACCTTAATTATGGAGTATGCCTAGAAAATGGGAAGAGCCTAAAAGTTGGAAATAATCTCCAAATAATCCAGCTTTAGAATTTGATACCAGATTTTTTTATCAAATAATCCCAACATCTCATCCATAATCTCAAAAAGTATTATCCACATCATCAAAATAATCTCTAAATAATCCTATGGATGGGGATGCCCTAATGAGTTTGAGTGAACATCAAAAATAAGTTTTATTAGTCCAATCCAATGTTTTATTTTCTCCACGTTTTCTTTTGTTCCAGATTTTTCCCATACATTCCACCCTATTTTCTTTCCTAATAATTTTATGAGTACCAAACAAACCTTAACTCCCTATGTAATGCAATTGAAAACAAAGTCTAAAATCATTTTAGGTCAATACCTCAGATCCAAGTGCAGAAGTAGCAGTCCCACGCTTATTGGGTTCCACCATAAGAAGAGATTCAATCAAAGAGACAGCTGTTTTAGGCAGATCATTGAAAGTCTCCCAAAGACAGCTTTCATAAGGATGTTGTGGTTTAAACAGAGTTGCATGAGGAAGTTTAGATTTCTTCCAATAGTCAACTGGTGGAGATCCACAAAGTTTGAAAATTTTGTGCAGCTGTTCAACCTGTATTATAAAAGATTACTTTTCTTTTAGAAAAATGCCAAAGGTCAATGGGTAAAGAGCTAAAATAGGTTATTGTAAAAAAGGGAAAATCCCTTAAATATTCTAAAGTAACTATCCATTGGACAAAAATGCTAAATTTTAATTTTCAGACAAAAATATTCCATTGCAGTTACCAATAGTCAATGACCAATTAGCAACGCAGTTACAATTGGTAACATATTTGTCCACAAGTTAAAATTGACATTTTTGGCAAAAGGTATTAAGGATGTTTTTACTTGAACTGTAATTTGTTGGTCTGGTCTGGTTTCTTTGTATTTTTATAACTATCCAAGTCTTGTCTGAACTAGTCTGGGATTACAGTCCAAGTAAAAACATCCTAATTGGTAATAGTTAAGGAAAAATCCCAAACAAAAAAAAATACCTCAGTTCTCCCTTGAAGTATTGGTTTGCCAGTAAGAAGTTCACCAAAGACACATCCAACACTCCAGATATCCACAGAAGCTCCATAGTCTGTGGAACCTAACAAAAGCTCAGGAGGACGATACCATAATGTGACAACTCGACTGGTCAATGGATGCCTGTGGCGATTGTTAAAGTAGTTAGCCAATCCAAAATCACCAATCTTTAAGATGCCTTCATTGTTTACCAAGAGATTGGCTCCTTTAATATCCCGATGCATTACACCCCGAGAATGACAATGCTCAAGTCCAGATAACAATTGTTTCATGTAGCATTTAACCTGGAGTAATTAAGTTTTCACTCATATGCTCAATAACATATAGGGTGCATTTGGAACTCAAGAAAATATAAAGCAAATAGAGAACCAAACTGGATGTAAAGAAAATTCGGGATAATATAAAAGATAAAGTCAAACTTAATAAAATTATTTTAGATATTTGTTCAAGGCTTTAATTTTTTTCTCCCTGCAAATATAGCATTTTTGGTTTAGATCATTGCCAAATATTTTGTTTGTCTTTCATCTCTGCATTATATGTTTGTTTCTTTTTAGTCCATATGTAACTCTCGGACAACCTACATTTTGAAAAAATTAATGTCGCTCGGCATAACTCCTCTCTAAACATTTTTTGTCCACTTCTTATAACTTTTTGAAGGCTACTATTAGAACTAAGGCTAAGCGTAACTAATTACACGTGTTTTTTAAGATAGGCTATCTGTAAATGAAATTTAAATATTTGTTTAAAATGAAATTACATGAAATAGTACGACATAAATCAGGCTAGTCGTGTCTTTTTAGTTTAATGAAAGTTGCTAGAGTCCGCAGGGAGCTAAATTGAAAATAGTGCATATTAAAGGTTTAAAAAACTAAAAATAATCAAAGACCTAAATTTAAAAAATGCAGGGACTAAAAACATATAATGCCTTTTTCAAACTCAGATGATTTATCTACTAGTAGCGTATAAAGATGATTTCACTTTTTATTTCATTTTTACAAGGTAACAGTAGACGTAATTACCAAACACAGGGAAATAATTCTCAGCAAGCATACCCATAAACATTCGAAAGAGAGAGTTATAATTGCTAAAAAACAATTGGATTCTAACAAAAAAACAGTGATCAAACCTGTGATTCAGTGAACTTGATATCAGGGCAACCCAAGAGTCCTGAAACATCATGCTCCATGTATTCAAAGACAAGATATATGCTGCACGATAATCGTGAAGTAATAATCCCCTCTAGCTTGATGATGTTTGGGTGGTCAAGCTTGCGAAGTATCATGATTTCTCTGGCCATAAACCGAACGCTCTCTGGTTCAAAGTTATCAAACCGAACCTTTTTTAGTGCAACAATCCTCCCACTCTCTAGATCACGAGCCCGGAATACAGTGCTATATGTACCTTGACCAATCTGCTCTCAAGTGTTATAAATAAAAGAAACATTTTATTAGCCAATTGTGGATAACAGACAAAACATATTACTCATCAGGAGACAGATAATCTAGGTTCAAAGAAAATTCTGAGGCAATGCTTCTTGGGAGTTGATTTTTGAAGGGTATGGAGGGGAAGGGGGGAAAAGTTGTTGATTTTCATTTAAAAAAGAATACATGAACTCATTGTTCAAAATGATAAAATATTGTAATCTCAACATCAGAGTCATTTATTTATGACCACAAAACATAAAGTATTCTCTTAAAATAACCCCTCCCTCCCTCTCCTATCAAAAAATGTCTCCCAAACATAGCCTTAGAAAATAAATGGCTAACCTAGTAGGCTATTACAACCCACATTTTCTTTTACTACAAAGTAGTCTTCTTTTTTAGTAGATCTTTCTCAAAAATATAAGGACAGCTTCTAACCAAAAACCCAAGGAGCAACTAACTGATGATATAAAACTATAAGACAGTTTCAAGAACTTCTTGTCTGTGATGTAATTGTCACCACATAAATTGAAGAGTCACAGAGTAATTGTCCTAATCTAAAAACAAAAAAGTTGGCAGAAAGAAGAATAACACTAAGAGGCATCCACAGAAAGATCAAGAAACATGAAATGTGAGCATTAAACAAAATTAAACCTTCTCGAGCTTCTCAAATGACTCCGTTCTGAGAGGCACCCAACCGTGAATAGCTTCACCTGCAACCGCACTTAACCAAGCCGGCCAACCGGCAGCAACTTGCTCTCCTTCCACATACTTGTGCAAATTCCCAAGCCTGAAGCTCACCGACTCGCTCCCAAACCCATTGGAACTCGCCCTCCCCGACTCAGCTAGCTCGCACCCAGCACTCCGCGCCGAGTCAGCTCTCTTCTTGACCTTCTTCAAATCAAAATCCAGTCCCAGTCCGGCGCCCTCGACCCGATTCCGACCCGAACCCGATTGATCACGGAGAGCTCCCGAATTGTCACCCGCAGGAGTAACCAACACCGTCTGCTTCGACGCCACACAACCCATGAGGCATGAGATGTGCTCACCAACCCAACACTATCATAATGGGTACCGGAGCATATGAAGATCCGCCCAGATCGAATTGCGCTAAATCTTGACTCGGGTCGAGCTCCTTGAAGTAGAGAAGATCATTCAATTGTAGTGTGGACGTGTTATGAAAGAAATTAACAATGTGTGTAGTAATTATTATAGTAATAGAAATAATACGGAGTAATTATGGTCCAGATTAAAAATCAAAGAACTGCTGCACAGGTCATAGCGGCTTCACTTTATGTCTGGATCCTTTCCCTGCGGCAATTGCGGAAGATGGAGGGCAGCTCCAGAGTTTATTGGTTTCACAAACATGGGAGTAGAATTTTACCGTAATTGTCGGGGAAAGCTACAAGTGACACTAGTTTTTTCCCTATAAAAATCATATTCGTGCGTACCAAATCCCCATATGCCACTCACCTGGGAACGGGTGCTGCAAGGGTTCTTTACAATTTTAGATACCTATTCTGAAATAAATGTAACACTTTGATTTTTACACTATTCACATGTTCTACTTTGATTACGTTTTATTTATTAATGTAATAATATTATTTTATGAAAAAAATATTGTTAAACTCGTCTAATTATAAATTTTCATAATCTAATTTTTTTAATTTTTTTACTAATACAAAATCATTTATATTAATGGTCAAAGTTGTGTTTCGGCAAGTGTGAAATGTTGACTGTTGCATTTATTTAAGAACGGAGGAAGTATATTGTTACTAACCCCGGGCATAACTAGGAAGGGAGTGTGAAAGGTAAAAGTCACGGATTCAACTTCAAATAATGACTTGAGATGAAACTTCAGTCTATTTCAATGAGAGTGATAATAAAGCTTAACTTATATTCTTCTAGATAATTGTCTGATCGTTTCTGGGGAGCTCTGAGGGATGACTTGGGATTAACTTCAAACAATGATTTGGGATGAAACTCTGCTCTATTTCCGATGTTATAGCTCACCTAGTAAGAAGGGGGTGTCACAAGGGAGAGGTTTCGACTTTAACTACAAGCAATGACTTGGGATAGAGCCTTGCTCTCTCTCTAGGAGTGTGGCTCACAATGCCGTCTTTTGACAAGTTTATCATGTTTCCTAGAACATGGTCCACTATTTTGGGGGGCCCAATTCCCCCCCCCCCCCCCCCAAGTAATATTATATATAGATTTATGATAAATAAAACTCTAGTGCTAGTGTTCCTCGTGGAAACTTAGACAATAATCTTTCTATTGAGAATGATAAAGAAATTGATGATCTGTCTCATAAGTATGTTGTTAGGGAGGGCGATGAGAATATTAGTGAACATGTTCCATTTGATAAACCAAATGTTGGAGAAACTTTTAGAATTGATATATTTGATATATTTGTTCATATGTGGGGCTTCATTTTGATATTTTGAAGAGAGCCTCAAAATTTATTAGAGGGCTCTGGTAGCTCACCTGGTATGAAGGGGTGCAACAATAGGGAAATCTTATGTTTTATTTCAAGCGACTTGGATGGATCTTCACTCTCTTTTCATCAGAGTGAAATCAGAGCTCAACTTACATCCTCTCAAATAACTGTCTGGTCGGTTATGGGGGCCCTCAGGGATGGAGTGTCATCCCCTTTTTAAAATATACTGTGACTAATAAGGAGCATAATATAAACACAGATATTTACTAATGATATAGACAAGAGGGTGTATTGTATAAAAAACTAGTGATAAAATTTTAAAAGTTCATGAATTTGGAAACTATAGTTTTCAGTTTGTATAATCCAATCTGCAAGTAAATTTCCCCACACAAATTCAGAGTGTAATAATCGACTTAGTATATGAAAGCTGCCCATTTTGACAAGCCTAAACCGTGGACCTCCCTTTTTGCTAACAATAGAGAACCTTCTCAATGAATGAAACTCATTTACATCCCACCTACCAGGGATATGGTTGATCTTTCAAGCTACACACTTCCATCTATGGTAGAGCTATGGGGATATTGTTTGGTAGGCTATTTTGTGGGGGTCATCCCGGGTCCTAGGACAGTCAACACTATGGTTCAAAAATGGGGGGTTCCATGCAAGGCTCAGCCATATAGTAAAGATGGATAATTTTCAAATTCCAAAGGGAAGAAGATAGAGACCAAGTGCTTATGGATGGGCCTTATTCTATTTATGGTATGACATGTTATCTAAAGGCCCTTGGGAGGATTTTTCAACCCAAAGTGATGAATTCCTCAAAGTCCCCATATGGGTGAAGTTTCATGAACTTCCTATGAGAGCTTGGAGGGAGGACATCATTAGTGTCGTGGCCTCAAGAGTGGGAAAGCCTCTAGCAACGGATAAGGTGACACAAGACAAAGCTAGATCTTCATATGTTGGGGTCGTAATTAAGCTTCCAAACGGGAAGATCTGTAGCCAAGGGGTGATGTATGAGACCTTCCAAACTATTGCTTCCATTGTAAGACATTTGGCCACCACCCCTTTACTTGCAAAGTCCTCCATAATATTGAGAGAAAGGAAAGAGGGGAGAAAGAGCCCCCCCCCCCCCCCCCCCCCCCCCCCCAAGAACCGAGGAAGAACACCATGTTTCAAATTCAAGAGCAACAAAGACAAATCTACACAATCAAAGCAAAAAATGTGTGTTACCATGAGGAGCACCCCCAAGGCCGAGACCATCAAAAGCAACCAAGAGCAGCCCGAGGCAGAACATATGGAAAGGGAAGAGGGAGAGATCATTGAGGAGGAAGATACTACCTTGGAGAATAACCCTCTTGCCATGACCAACCTTTCATCTATCATAGAAAAAGACCCATCCTTTGGAAAAGGGAAGGAAATACAAAAAATCATCCCTTGATATTTTGAAACCAGCTCCTGAGAGCGCCTGAAGAGCCTGGGAATTTTGAAAAATGGCGAGAGCTGTAGAAGTTGTTCCAGACTCACGCGAAGGTTGAATTTCAGTCGAACAATGGTGGGGAAAGATTTGAGTTCGTGTTCTTGGTGGCTCCCAGTCGGAATTCAATCCTGGTTTCAATTTCGAGCTCGGATTTCTAATTGGAAGGACGATTTAAGGTCAACAAACTCCAAATCGATAGGTTTTCTCGTGATTTTACTGTTCAAAATTGGAATCGATTTTTTGGTCGAATCTCCAATCCAAACACCTGGTTCTGCAATTCAACAGTTCTGTGAAGCTCTCCTACCTCAAACGCACCTCTAGTTCAGTTTCTGGGTCGTGGATAGGTGAAATCTGAGTTCGGCGATTTTACTGTTCATCGTCGTTCTTGGCTACGACACGGGCTTCAATGGCAAGAAGAAAACAGAGCACTGCAGAACCGTCAATGGCGAGGGCTACTAGGTAGACCTGCACAAACACGGGCTCGGGCCGGGCTCGGGTCGGGCTTATTCTAAAAAATCTGCCCACTTGTAGTGGGCGGGCCCGGCCCGGCCCGGTAAAACGGGCCTCCTCATATGTCCAAGCCCGCCCATGAGAGCGGGCCGGGCTGCCCACCGGGCTTTTGGGCCCGAAAAATATCCTTTTGTCAACTTTGTTAAAAAAATGAAAATATTTATAAAATAACATCACAACATTTTAAATGCAATTAAATAATTAATGTACTTACAACACATTTTGAACACAAGAATACGTTTAAATGCAAAACACAAAATTATTCTGGAAAATAAAAAGCATCCAAATTCCAAATAAGCATTCATATTCCATAATTAAAAGCACAATCACAGATTCACAATGTGCGGCGGAAATAGTCAAGAGTATCTCCAAAAAGACTTAACAAATGTATATCATTACAGTTCAAATTTAAATAGTAGAACACAGAAAGTAATTGGTATCCCAAGATTCCAAGAACTTCTCGACACTCCTTCATTTCACCAGAAAGTAATTGATCTCCCAGACTGCTCTGCCAAGTGCCAATAAATATCAAATAATGAAAACCAAATATTATTTATAAACCAAGTAAAAACATTGAGATAATGAAAATTACTATATTGTGATTTCTGAATCGTACCGTCTGTGAAAGAGAAGCATTGTCTTACACTAGAGTAGCATTTCATCTTCTTCATCCTCGTTATCATTCGAACGTCCATCACCGATCTTGAACATACTTGTGGAACCTTACAAGTTAAAAATAATGGAAAATAATGACACTTGTGAATAATGACATGGTAATGAAATTATACTTCCAAGTATTTTAAGTTTTATACGTATAGTCATATAATGTATAATTATATATAGAATAATATATATAATATAATATATAAAATATGTTTACGGGTCGGGCTTTTAGGCCCGACCGGGCCTATATTACAACCCAAGCCCACCCATATTTTAAACGGGCCGGGCCGGCCCCGGCCCGGTGGGCTAAAGCATGTGTCCAAACCCGCCCATTTATATGGGCGGGCCGGGCGGGCCGGCCCGGAATTGTGCAGGTCTACTACTAGGTCATCTTCCAGGTTCTCTTTACTGGAAGACTCAGAGGATGAGTTCCCTGTCCTTACTGCAACTGCGAAACAGGCTGGACAAAAGGCCACTCTAGGGAGGATTACTGTAGCACCGTCCAGGTTAACTGGCGCACCAGGGGGGCTTTATCTTCTTCGCTGGGGGTAGTTGGGGTTGATGTACTGCAGGGGAAATCTGTGGAGGCTGAGCAAAATCTTGCTGCAGCTTTGAATCCAGGCAAGGCTACTATCCTTCCAGCAGGGGAGAAGGTCGTTGCTGTGAAACTAACTGGGCATGATGCCTCACCAGAGAAGGTGGTGACCACTGAGACAGTAACCTATGTTGGGAATATTTTATGGTGTTCAATCTAGTTAGTTATCTTTGTATTTGTGTAGTTATTAATTAATCGTGTAATACGGGCCACAAATGTGTATCAGCCCGTGGGCTTCCTTGTAACCCGTAAGTTAGCCAACTTCTCCTATAAAAGGAGGCTAACTTACGGGAACCCTAACGATCGATAGAGGCTTAGAGTTCAGAGGCGTAAAGATAGAGAGAGTTTAGGTTTGCCGCTGCTCTCCTTCTCCAGGGAGAGTAGCGGCGGGTTTTCATACGGTATACCAGATTCGCGTATAATATCTACACATCTTTCTATCTGCTTCTTCTATAACTGCTATATTTGTTGTTTGTTAAGTATTCTGGGATTAACAACCTAGCTGCACGTAAATCCTCAAACAAATGAGATTGTTACTGCCAAACGCTTGCAAAAGGAACAAATGGTCAACAAACCCACTGTCAAGGAGCAACCTGCTACTCCTGTGCAGGGAACTACTGCTGCTTTGGCAGTCAATAAAGAAGGGGATACGGCAAAAAAAAACCATGGGCTACACTTTTCAAGGACAATAGAGCTCCATCTCATGGGATCAAACTGAATTTTGTGCCTCCTAAAGGTAATTCCTTGGACTTTTCTGA